GTGGTCTGGCCTTGTCTTACGGGTTGGTGCTTCACATAGGGTTAACCCCATTGCACCTTTCCTGTCCAAGAAAATTGCTATGTCTATGTCTAAGACCAGAATTCAATTGTTTAGAGCTGAATAACCTGTAAACTGTATGTTACATGTACATTGTACATATTTTGTACCTTTGCTAGGGCTAGGTTGTATTTAGGCTTTTAAGCCCACACATCAGAGGAGTCATAATTTCTTTTTTTGATTTAGAGGCATGACCAGACTAATTTGTTTGTAAAATGTCAACAGGCAATCAGCAAGTTCGAATCACTTGTGAACCAAATCCAAAAGAATGCCAAAGACATAAACAGCCGTCTGGAGATGATCGAGAACACAGTGTTGTTCAAACATCCTCCACCCAAGATAGGAGGGATGCTACCTGATGCTAAGGTGACAAGATCTACAATTATTTTAATTTCTAACTATTGTGGAAACACAAACAGATTACTGTATATTAAAATACATCTGTAACGACTATATTTTAGCCTATGTGAAGATGCCTTAGCTTACCTAGCCAACATTCAACTCTGGTTTCTGAATTTAGCTACAGAGTTTCTGAATTTAGCTACAGAGGTACAGAACATGGGTAGCTGGAGGTTTTGCACCCAAGCAATTTTGCACCCACCAAGTTTGCACCCACATCGACTCAACTAGTGATCAAGTGCTTAAAATCTACTGTATCTTTCTCTTACCGAGTAAGAGACAACATTGTGGGCATAATACAACAAAATCACGCAAAACATGTTTATTTCTCGTTCTTTAATCCATTGAAGGTGAAGATGAACTCGAAATAGAAAGTTTATAATGAGTTCAAGGGTGTCAACTCGGTGGGTGTGAACATAATAGGGTGCAAAACAGGTAGCATTTGCTGCATGTTCAAGTACTTTAGGATTATTGCCATCCAAGCCAGATAGAATGGTACATGTAGTCTTTTGCAAAATGTCATTATTTTTGTCTGGTTGTCCCACGGGTTCGCTGGTACCCATTGAACTATCCTAAGGTGGAGAGAGAGCGATACTGTGAGTGTAATTTTTCTTGCTGAAGAACATAACACAAAGATCCCAAAAATATAATGTGTTTGCATCAGCCAGAATACTGTACATATTTTTTTATACATGTAGAATGATGTCCATTGTCTTACAGCTTGAGATTGGAATTCGAGTTCAACCATGACCTTATTGCAAATTATAATAATCATTTAATAAGTACGATTTTTTAATGTCCCTCATATTTTATTTTCTAGGAATTCTTTGAATATCTTGAGAAAGCAAGAGGTTTGGAGCTTGACAACTTGTCCAGGAAATACCGAGCCATTGGACCACTATTGACAAAGATGGAAGGACTTGTAGTGCACACCAACACAGGCAGATCCACCAAACTACAGCCTTACTATGCTTACTGGGAGAACTCTGTTTATGAAGCTCTTACCAAGGTTATTTTCCCTTCCTTTAATTACTTTATTTACAGCTGTACAATAAATTTTGATCCATGTACATGTATTATTTACACTCTATTGCATGTAGTTGGGTGAACAAGTGCCATTTTTGGCGCATGCTGTTTAGCTCCCAAATGTGCTTTAGCTCAAAGTTAAAACGTTTTGAACAATGAATAAATATGAAACAGCACCAGATGACTAGTCTGTTGAAAAGCTATTTCATTTCATTAGGATTACACTCAAAGGTTTGATTCACACACTAGCTTCTAGGTTGGGACCACCTTGCACTGCACATTAGACAGTACCACATTAAAGACTTTCATTTGAATTACGTCTCACATTAGGGTCTCATCCACAGATTTCAAAGTTTAATGTAGTTAATTCATTTAATGGAGCTCAGTCAAGGCATTTTGAGTTAGTTTGGCCACATACTTGGTCATGTAAAATTACCTTTAAATTGAAGGAAACCTGAAAATAATAGTTTACTACATGTATGATAGAAAAACACCGAAGAGATAATAACAGACCATGAATGAACAAGGATGGTCAATGATAGACAAGATTAACACAGATTGCAAACGACAAACTTGAAAAAAATTAGTCTTCACTTTTCAAGATACACAACCCGTGACGTAGCTCCTTTACGGTTTGACTTGGGAAGTGAGAGTGTTAAAGGACATGTAACTGAAGAGTTTTTTTTAATTACTGGATGACATTTCCTCATTTCAGATGGTGACAAAGAATTTGCAACAGTTTAACCAGCAACTTCATGCCCGCCAACCATTTTTCCAGATAGAGACTGTTCTGTCTGCACCAGAGATTGTCTTGTCGCCTCCTGCCAATGAGATTTACAAGTTAATCATGCAGTGTGTCCGAGACATGGTGGAAGGGTGAGCTGCACAGTAACATGTACAATAGGCGTAATCTTGGTTTTCAACGCCATCTTGACGGGTATGCAAAGTAGTCAGAAAAGTGTTTGTATGGGAATCTGATGGCAAAAACCTTTTTTAAAATATTCAAACATTGAATTTTACACATAGGTGAATCGCAATGTTAAAATATGGTAGAAGATTGTATTCACCAAGACGCTCAGTTAATTTTTCTAATTTTCAATACATTTGTCTGTAAATCTAGCTGGGTAGACACGGTTTGTGGGAAAAAAATTATAGACAAATGTATGGCAAAGTTAACCGAGCTTCTTCTAGCCCAGTTACATCCTTAAAATTTGGTGAATTCAATCTGCTACCTAGTATGGTAAAGTTGCGATTCATAAGTTGTGCAAAATTCAATATTTAAAAAAGTTATTTGCCATCAGATTCCCATACAAACACTGTAATTTCTGACTATTTTGCCTACCCGTCAAGATGGCATCGAAAACTGTAATTAGTTCTATTGTTCTTTCCGTTAATCCTGTGTTTCCCTCATTGCCAATTCTGAAGCCTGATTTCACTATTAATTTATGATTTCCACACAATGCTATTAGAGGGGAATTGTTAGAAAGCTTGGCAAAGTTCTTTGTCGTAAGCTTTTGTTTCCCTTTTTTGTCCTAGACCAGGCACAAAACACAAGATGTGTTAATGCGCTCAACTCTGGATCAAGAGGTCCAGGTTAGAGCCCTGGCTGGGGACATCATGTTGTGTTCTTGGGCAAGACACCTCACTCTCACAGTGCCTCTCTCCTCCACCCAGGTGTACAAATGGGGTAGAAATACTCTTCGTTGCTTCATACTACAGAAACCAGGATAAGCTCTGGCCTGATATGCCACTTGGCTCGTACGCACACTTCACCTTTATGCATAGTGTATGACGGGAAACAAAAGATTGTATGCGATAGTGGAATTCCAACATAAATCTCGGAAATTTATTTGTTCCTTTGTAGTTTGCTAGCTTCATAACCATTCCCCTCTATTAACTATGTTCCATTTGCTTGAACTTTTCATGGATAGATTGAGAAAAGTTTCTGCATTTACACATTCGTTTTCAACTGGCACTGTTTTATTTAGTTTTTTTTTTTTTTGATATAGAACAAGGATGTTTGTCCGCTGGATGCACGGCACCTGTATTGAGACTCCGCCCCAACACGCTGAAGGTGAAGACGAGCCTGTGGTGTTCAGTTTCTTCACGGACATTTCATCTAATCCTGCCATCATTGACATGGTGACAACTTTGTCTAAGAGTGTGCAGAACACTCTAGGAATGCTGAACAAATACTTGACTCGCTGGAGAAGGTACCGACTGCTCTGGAAACTTGATAAGGTTAGTGCATATGTTTGAATTCTGTAACTGAACTAGCGAATGACTAGCTGAAAATTTCTGTGACTTGACGGGAAGATAATTCCACAGGGATAACTTACATGTAGCTCTAAACAGTTCTTTGTTCAGGGTTGCCACAGGTCAGGAAATGGTAAGGGGAAAAAAAATTTCTTCAAGGTCAGGGAAAAGTCATGGAATTTTATTTTGAGTCAGGGAAAGTTAAAATTTTGAAATATTTACGCGACCTAATGCTTAGAAATGAAAATGATCCTTTGTTCCCTTTTTCTCTCTAAGTTACTTGCATGACGAATTTCTGTTTTATAATCAGCTGTGGTAAAAACCCACATGTAAGAACCTATTGGTTTAAGAACGTATTTTTCTGGTAATCAAAAACTATATCTCCTTGATAGAAATTAAGAACCTAATAAGACCTAACTTAGCCTAAATTGCCAATAACTACCCCAAAACACAAGAACCTATCTTGCTAGACTTCAAAAAATGTAGGTTCTTACACCCGGGTTTTTACTTTAATTTGCTTGCTTTTTGAACAGAGTAACATGGTGGAGAAGTTTGCGCAGAAGAAGCCGACGTGTATTGCATACGATGAAAAGCTTCAGTTCTACTCAAATCTGGTTATTGAGGTAAGAAGATAATCCTTCTGCCGACTGGTAGGGCGTTTTAGGCTTACATTCTAACGATATTATACTAAATTGCCTGTATTGCATGCATTCACCTTAACAGCAAAGAATAACAAGATATCCAGTTGCACCCGTTTATCTCTCTCAGACTACGAGAATTGATCAGATTAGTCTGTCTTTTCCATGTTTTCCATTAGATTATCGAACGAGAAGTGGGAAAAGCGACAAGAAAAATGGCTATGCGGAATTGCCAACAAAATGCTCTTTTCGTTTCTTCCTTAGCAAGCTAAGGGAAAGAAGGGACTGCTCGTAGTCTTTGGCATTCTAAAGTCATAAAGTCGTAGTTTTTCTTTTCCTTGAGAGGGAATATTGTGTTTTGCCCTAACTCTAGCCATAACCGGCCTAACTTATCGAAAGAGCCTTAAGCTTCTGTGTTTGGGAAGTTAGCTTAGGCCCATTTACCAACTGCTATGGCTAAGAAAACGTAAGTTAAAAGGTTTTGATATGTTTATCAGGTTGGGAACCAGGTGATGACTAAAGATGTGGATTTTGTTCGTCTAAACCTGGACCCACTGGCTTCAACCATTCAGGCAAATGCGAGAGCCTGGGTCAAGGAACTGGGCAAGTTTTTGAACGAGTCGGCGAGAGAAGATCTGAATGCGCTAAAAGGAGAAATTGAGGTATATTACTTGTAAACTAGTTACATGCATGCCATCGTTTTGAGTGGCACGCTATGAAAACTTCAGTTAAAGAGGGTGTTAATTTTCAGTATACACAAGCGCCTTGAGGCTAGTGTGTATAGAAAGAAAACTCAAATCAACTATAAAAAGTCGAACTTGGTTTGTCAATCACGCTGGATCAAACTGTTGTAAAATATGCCCTGAGCTGAAAGTATATTGCCTCAATCAAGCTGCAGTCGGGAAAACCTAAAAGCCGTGATCCGACATCATGACAGAGCACTAAATTGACTTAGCTTTCAGTCGTGAAGATCTTGTTTGTAGACCATGTTGGGTTTGACACAAATCATATGCAAGGATTCGTGGTCTGGTCTTTCTTGGAAGTGAATGTGATGTTCTTCGACTATTCTTAGCATGAATTAAAGGAGTTCAGTCAAGGCATTTCCAGTTATTTTGGCCGCACACAAAATTACCTTTTAATCGAAGAAATCCTAAAAATAGTAATTTATTAAGATAGAAAAACACTAAAGAGATAATAATAAACCATTATGGAACAAGGATGGTAAAGAATGGAGAAGATTAACGCAGATTGCAAACGACGAACTTGAAAGATTTAGGCGACACTTTTCAAGATGCTCAAACCGTGAATTAGCTCCTTTAAGTAACATCTGTTGGTTATTATTTGCAGGGTTTAACAGATGATCTCAAGCGGCCCCCAGACACACTAGAAGACTTGAAATTTGTCCTGCGTGTGATTGCAGACATCAGAGACAAATCCCTTGATGTGGAGCTTCGTTACGTTGACTTACAAGAAAGATACCGAACATTACTCATGTACGATATTGAGGTAGGAGGAGAAACAATTCCATCACTAACTCAGGATAAGTGCGACGGATATATTAACTGGAGGAGGAACTTTCTTGTGGTCCACACTCCGTGCCTTTTCCAAGCACATGCCCAAAGAGGGCCAGAAATGTTTCGACATTTAACCATGTACCTGCTTACCCCTCCCTCCCTCATCCAGTCAATCCTTTCTTGTGCCCTACCCCTGGCTTTTTACTTGGGATCTTGTTGATATTTGCAGTCAAATGGTTGCCATAATTTAGACTAATGCCGGAGTTGAGAAACTTTCTGATTGCTTCTACAAGCAATTAACAATCTGATAGGAAATCAAGTAATTTCAGTTTTTAGTGGACAAAATCCTTGTACCAGAATAATTTTAGGTATTTTACAGTCCTTTTCACATTTTCCTTTCAAGCTAAAGATATAAATAGTTGCCTGAAATAACACCAGAAACAATTTCCTGAGGGAACTCGAGAAAATAAATTTCAGAGTTAAGAGAACTTGTGCAAAAACACAGGTGAAATTTCATCATCAGTATCATTTCACCAGTAGTTTCAAGTGTTTCATGTGAACTCTTTTTTTCGACATTTGGTGTTGTTAGAAATCTTTTTTTTTTCTTTTGAGAAGATATTTAAAAGAGTCGCACAGAAGTTTGTAATACGATGTTAATAATATCGGTACAAA